TAATGGGTCTAGCAGACACCATAAACGATAAGTTATCATGTGCTTTACTTGCTATATATGCTACTGCCAATTTAAAAAAAAAGAAGTATTTAGGAACCTAGTAAGTGAGCCATAATCATTGGACGAGATTCTGGAGCATTCTATGAATTTTAAAACACTATAATTTGCATATCTTCCGGTTTTCACTTACACGTTTTCGAATTAGGATTTCAAATTTTACTCCATAAGAGTAATATTGCATAGGAAACTATAAAGTGGATGACATTATTAGATTTATTTAAACTCCGACAGAGTTTGTAAGAAATATATAACCACCAATAGTGGCAATATTTTCTAAGTCTTGTTATAACTTAACTTCATAGTTCACTTGAACTCTAGCCGAGTACAATCATCAGAAGTGGTTATATTTCATATATCTCATTGTAACTAAATTGTGTTAACCATCAGAAGTGGCATATGCCTATGACCACCAGAAGTGGTATATGCCTATGACCACCAAAAGTGATAATTTAGGCTTGTTATGGTTACAATTGAAGATAAGTTAAAGAAAATTCTCCATATTACATACATGCTTCGATTTGCTCCTGAAGTAGCAAATATCTTAAAAGGAGGTTCGAATCATCACAATGTGATTTGGTTAATGCACGTTCAGATAATTATATTATATTCCCCGAAGGATGAGAATTTTTGATAAATATTGATTTATTCTCATAAGTGAATGTGACAATGTTAATAAAGCGTGTAAATATGAACGGGCTCTTGATATGAATATATTATAACTCACCTCCAGAAGAGGTAATATGATATACTCAATATTTTATATTTTAAATTTGCTCCTGAAGTAGTAAGCAATTAAAATTTTCTCCTGAAGCAGGAAAATATTATGTAGTGGTAGAAATATTATATTTCTTAATTTTCGTCATTTAATAGATTTAGAATTGTCTTTATATTGTTAATTTGATTATGATTTTCTCTCATAATACCAGAAGTGTCTGAGAAATATTTGATAGTACAAAATGTATCAAAAACGCGTGGAGAACTAACCGTTTGTCTAGAAGACACATGACACCAGTAGTGTCTGATAAATATTAGATTGTGGATAATAAATGAAGGCTCTCGAAGAGCTTATATACAAATATGTCATTCATATTATATGAATATGGTCAAAACATATGTTGTAGTAAACCCGAAGTTTACTAATACAAATGACTATCATATTGAGATCACAAATGATTGGAAGATTGAAAATCTTCATGTTTCTACAATCATAGAGGGTAAAATAATATGTATGTAAGAAGTTACCCGCCTTATTCTTCAATTTGTACTATATCATGTATCACAGTAAACCAGAAGTTTACTAATTCAAAAGCAGTCACAGTAAATCAGAAGTTTTACCGAGGCAAAAGTAGCTATTGTAAACCAGAAATTTACTGATACAAAAGTAATCACAGTAAATTAGAAGTTTACTGATGCAAAAGTTTATGTCATAGTAAATCAGAAGTTTACTTAGAGATAGCACATGCCATGATAAACTTGAAGTTTTCATTTGCCATTTTTAAATGAGCTATTTGAGAATTCAGATAAGCATATACTGAAGAACTAGAAGATTCTTCAAGAATTCTCTTGTGTTGCTTGTTCTTATAATAAATTGATTATACCAGCTAAAGTTGGGACTAAAATCCCCGATTTCTGAAATATATAAAAGGTGAATATGGGCCCATCCACCTACCATGTGAACCACTTTAGATGCATATATGGGATGGTTACATGTGTGTTTATTGTCAACCTGCAATTTGACATTTGAAATTGCCTTTCTCAATTAAGAGCATAATTTTCAGATTATGAAATCAAGATAGTTCATCTTGATGATGCCGGTTTATATCCAAGCTAGTTTAGCATTGAACACCTCCTATTAATGGCTAAACTATTACTTATGAGAACAAAACCTCATGTGTTGGTCTAATATTTTATAAATTGCATACAACAACACTTGTATGCATCAGACCAATAAAATATGATAAGTCCTCCCCTCACAATTGGTTTAGGATTAGAAATCAATTTTTTTTTACTATCTAATAACTTTTGATGTATGTTATATGATTAATTTCTCTACCACAATACACAAAGATATGTTTCCCAAAGAAGATTGTGGATATGAGTTAGTTTTTCTAATATTTGGGGGATGGAATAAACAGCTCGAAAATATGCTATATGAATCGAATTATCATTAATATGATCCTCACTTAGAAGATAATTCAATTCAAATACCAGAAGCATTTGTTGATCCAAAATTAAATATCATATTTTAGCTGCAAATGCTCCTATTAAAATTAAAGTCCCTGAAGGATAAAGTTTACTGCACGCATGAAGCGTAGTAAACTGATCGGTTCCAAAGTTAACAATCCTTGAAAAATAATAGGAGCAAATGATCAAAATGATCATAATGAGGAGGAAATGGTCTCTAGAAGAGCCCACGACATAATATTTCATGAAACTCCAGAAGAAGTTCAGGTACCTAAAAATAAAGAAAGTGATGAGATCTCAACAAGTTATGTCGCTTAGGAACCGATACGAAATAATCGTCGACGATATATTTGATACAATATAGTGCGCAATATTGTAAAAGTTTGTGAGGATCGGACCTGCAGTCTAGACACCTGAAGATGTCATGCCATTTAAATGCAAGTCATAACCTATATGACTCATTTGATTAAATCTATATGAAGATCCTTGAAGCATATAGTTCAAAGTCTCGAGAAGTGTACTCGATCATATTACAAAGGTCTTTGTACGATTTAAATCAATCTGGGTACATGTAATATAATCGCCTCAGTGAATATTTGCTAAAAGAAGGTTACATAAATGATATTTGTCCATATATTTTTATAAAGAAAATGGCATCACAATTTGTTATACTTGCTATTTATGTTGATGACATAAATCTTGTTGGAACTCCAGAAGAGCTCCAAAAGGCAATTGAATATCTTAAGAAAGAATTTGAGATGAAAGATCTTCGAAAAATAAAATTTTGTCTTGGTCTGCAAATTGAATATTTAGCAGACGAGATCTTTATCCATCAATCTGCCTATATAGAAAGAGTCTTTAAAGGCTTTTACATGGACAAAGCGCACCCATTAAGTACACCAAATGGGTGTTTGATCACTTGAAGTGAATAAGGATCCGTTCTGACCTCCAGAAGAGGATGAGGAACTCCTTGGTCCTGAAATACCCTATCTCAGTGCAATTGGTGCACTAATGTATCTTGCTAATGCTACAAGGCCTGACATAGTATTTTCTGTTAATTTACTAGTAAGATATAGTTCTTCTCCTACACGGAGATATTGAAACGGGATTAAGCATATATTACGATATTTAAAGGGAACTCTTGATATGGGTTTGTTTTATACTAACAAAGATAGTGCAGATTTTGTTGGTTATGCAGATGCAAGTTATTGATCTGATCCCCATAAAGATAGATCTCAAACCAGGTACGTGTTTATATGTGGAGGTACTATCATATCATGGCGCTACACAAAGCAATCTATTATTGCTACTTCTTTAAATCATGCTGAAATAATAGCTATTCATGAAGCAAGTAGGGAATGCGTATGGTTGAGATCAATAATTTATTTTATTCGAGAAAAATATGGTTTGGAATGTGAGAAAAAATTCACAATTTTATACGAAGACAATGCTGCATGCATAGCCTAATTGAATGGAGGATTTATAAAAGGAGATAGAACGAAGCATATTTCACCAAAATTATTCTACACACACGATCTTCAGAAAAATGGTGACATTGATTTGCAATAAATCCGTTCAAGTGACAATCTGACATATTTATTCACTAAATCTTTGCCAACTTCAACTTTTGAGAAGATGGTATACAAGATTGGAATGCAGAGACTCAAATATTTGAAACAAGATTTTCATCAGGAGGAGTAAAATACGCGATGTACTATTTTTACCTTACTAAGGTTTTTTCCCACAGGGTTTTCCTTATAAGGTTTTTAATGAGGCAGCTAGAAATGTGTATTACTAAATATGTGTACTCTTTTTCCTTCACTAGAATTTTTCCCACTGGATTTTTCCTAGTAAGGTTTTAACGAGACACAATACCTTTTAATGAACATCCAAGGGGGAGTGTTATGAAAATAATTATATTTTGGATGTCCATTTATTACTCCGCTATAGATAATCTTCCTGAAGAAGATTATCCATTTAGTACTCTGTTGAAATTTATCTACAAGCAGCTGATGCAGGCAGGTTGCAAGCAGCTCAATGAAATGATTTGCAACAGCTTATTATTAAACAAGCAAGTTGCAAGCAGCTCATGCAGACAACTTACAAGCAGCTAAAGAAAAGCCTTGCAGCTGCTTCCTGAAAAGCCTCGCAGCTGCTTCCTTTCTTCTATAAATAGAGGAGTTTTCAGTTCATTATGTACAGAATTTTGAAGTTGAATAAAAATGTCAATCTCCCTCTATACTTGTCTTCGATTTATTTACTTTACAGTTTTTATTTTATAACAATATTACTATATTTGACAACATTTTAGCTTTAAAATTCCTATTTACTCTTAGTGAAATTTTTTTATGTTTAATACCATAAGTTTCAAAAATCTTTTTTTCTTTCTTATAACTCCATGCTGAGTCAAACTATATTATATAAATTGGATTGGTGGGAAGCAGAATAAAGAAACTGTAGATCCAATAGGTATGCACACAACACACTTTCAGTTACTCAAATTCCACCAACCATTTGGAGAAGAATTGCATCAAAGTATTTTCTGTTGAAATATAGTGGCTTGAATAGAGCGGAATTCATAAATTCTAACTTAAGAAATTCGGGATCGAGGCACATTCATTGATTCATTAACTGATATTCATAAATATAAGGAGTTTTCACAAATATGATCTTCAAAACTAAGCAATCTATTTATAAAATACAGGGGTAAAGTAGCTTACAGAAAAAGAGCATTTGTAAAATGTTGCATCATCCTTTCAAACATTAAACAGAGCTGGATTTGCAGTGGCTGTGCTTACTTGTACTTCAGGCAGATGCGGATCCAGTATTTGATTGTTACAGGTGTCACTCAGGGGCAGATACACATTTATCGAAGCGGTGTCACGCGATACCACTTCGTTGGATTTTTTTTATTAAATATATGTATTAATACTGTGAGGAAACAAATAAGTAGGAAAATATGACACCAATTGACATAAGTTGTCTCTTGGTGCATTGATTGTGTACTTATTTTGCTCTAAGAGGTTAGAGGTTCAAACCTCAACTAACACAACGTGTTTGCAAATATTTGAGAGAATCTATGTGATTAAAAATTGTGATGAAGTACAATTTAATTCATAATTTTTTCTAATTTAAGGCTCAACAAAACCAATAGACTAAAACTATTTCTTGTCTAGAAGTATGATAACTAAAGTTATTATTTCTGTTCTTCTATAAATTTTGACACCGCTAATAAAAATTTATGCTAAGAGATTGAACTTGGGTGTACATTTAGCCAGTTCGATCCATTTTTGATTAATTCGGTTCGATTCGGTTCGGTCCATTTTGAATTAATTCAATTCAATTTAAAAGATTATTTTATGCATAAATGAATATGTGATCACAAAATCGAATAAGTTCTGTCCAATTCGGTCTAAGTCTCTGGATTCAAATTCGATTAATATGATTAGAAAATAAAAAGTAAAAATAAAATTTTAAATTAGAAAATACACCATCTACATATAGCTCGATTAATATTATGTCTTTGATGCATCACTCTAATTTCTAAACGTAATAAAATATTATTAGATGGACAAAAAGAGGAAATAATTAAAATCACATTCAAATAAATTTGAAGATCTAGAAAAAGAAAAAAGGAAGCAAATATACAATTTAAATAAATAATAAAAAGGAGATTGTACAAATAGAGTGAATAACAAAGGTGAAGAAATTAATTAAAATAATTTAAAAGAAGGAGCATAAGGAAAAGAAAGGAAAGGGAAAATAGATAACAACAAAACAACTAGGACCACATTAGAGTCACGATCCTGAGCATTTTATGTGGAGTTCCAGTGCCTTAACCGTGGCAAATGCAGTCATTTTGTGACTTGGGGTGCCACTCATTATATATGTTCAACATTTTGAGAAAAATATCAGTACATATATAAAATTTTACTCGAGCGATCGGGTGGCATACCACCATAGATCCGCCCTTGACTTCAAGCAATTCCAAACGACGTTCCAGTGTATCACGCTTCTCATTTAGTGTCGCCAATTTACTCTTTGTCGTTGCCTCTAAATTTACAACAAAATTAACCGTCACACTATTAAAAAAAGGAAAAAAATGATAAAATCTAACCAGTACTCGGTATTCACACCAAACCAGTACATGTGTTAACTGATGTAAATTTTTACTTTAATTTTTAACTACTAAGGTTAAATTGCTTAATTTGGTATAAATACCGGACACATTAATTACTGAAAAATTACTCAAATGAAATTTAAGGAGTTAGAGAATAGTTACCGAATTGGACAGGGAAGTCGAAAAGCTTACAGACATTAATGGAGATGTTAGAAATGAATTCACGATTCTTCCAATCGGCTTGGACTGCTATACCTACATTCATGGCGTTGGTAATTCTGTCGGCTCTAGCCATATTTTGCCCTACTGGTTTCGACTGAGAGTGAAAAATATAGAGATCTGAAAGGAGAACAAATAATTCAGCGACAATTTTCTTATATTTTTGCAATTGAGTAGATGGAGCTGAGCAGCGTTTAGCTTAGTCGTTCCGTTGACGGTTGTTTTCCCCCTTGTGTTATTTGTCTTAGATTTTCTTTTTTAAATCTTTTTCTTTATTTTGGGTTTTGGGTCCAGCTTATTAGGGTTGTTCAAAATCGAACCGTAATCGTTAACTTAATCGAAAAATGATTTATTGGCTTATTGTGATACAAATATTAGCCATTAGCTCATGAAAATTAGTTGCACACGTTTTGGCGGGAAAAGTAGTTATTGTTTGTGTCACACAATTAGCGTACCTGTATTTCCTTTTCCTTTTATTTCAGCATTTTAGCTTTATTACAATCTTATAAATAAGAGGTACACCAAATGTAAAGGCATTGAGATTGATATATGAATTGAATTTCTCTCTTCCTCCTCTTCTTCTCTCTAAATTTTGCCTTTCCTCGATCAACTCTTCTGTTCTTCTCTCATTTTTGTTACTAATTCACTATTTCATTAAAGTGATACCTCAATTTGATATCAATTGGTATTAGAGCTCGTTAGACGATGGGACCACATAGAGCTGTCGACGTAGTAACTAGCAATCAACCCATGGATTTGCAGGAGCAATATGAAGATCTAGCAACTCAACAGTTAGATCTAAGGGCATAAATGGCTCAGAAACAGCAAAAACTCATGGATGATTTGGACAAAAGCCATGCTGAGCTGCTCCATATGGTAAGTTCTCTAAAAACTTCCTTCGATGATTTGCAATTGAACCAACAATCGAAGGACAATGCTTCTACTTCGACTGCTAGGGATAAGGTTTTACAATCAGGGTAAGGTATATTAGGTCCTAATCCTTATTGTGGTAATACAAATCGAGTTCATATTTTGATTTTTCCTCGTTTCAATGGGGAAAATATGAAAACCACATTATATAGGATTGAGCAGTATTTTTTAGAAGATGATACTCCTCTCAATCGGAGAGTGAGGCTGGTAGTTATGAACCTCGATGATGAGGCCTTAGCTTGGCACCAAGCCTACCTCAAATGTCGAAATGAACCTGTGCTACCCTCTTGGGATGAGTATATTACTGAGCTAATCAAAGCATTTGGTGGTGATTTTTCTGATCCTATGCTATAGTTGAAACAATTGAAATAAACAGGATCTGTTAGAGAATTTCAATTTGCCTTTGATAGATTGGTAGCTTAATGTAACTTAACTATTGAGCAAGCTATCTCTTGCTTCCTTGGTAGTTTGAAAGAGGAATTAGTGAATCCTATCACGATGCATGAGCCTAAAACTTTAGCTAAAACCTGCAGGCTAGCTGAGGCCACTTTCGCTGCTAATGCCAGAGCTCAGAAACACACTTCAGCTGGTTACTCTGCTGCTAAGCAGATTCCTTATGATAATCAAGGCCCTAAACCTCCTTCCTCTCCAGCAATTAGTCATACATCTCGACTTCCATTACATGTTGCTAGCACTGATGTGGTACATAGGAGCAGGAGGACTATTTCTCTAGCTGAGATGCAGGCAAAAAGGGCCCAGGGATTATGTTATTTCTGTGATGAGAAATATACTACAGGCCACAAATGCAACCTTCCCAAACAATTGCTTGTCTTAAAGCTTGAAGGACCTGATACTTTACCTACAGAAGAAGGAGACAACATTTCTGAAGCTGAAAAACTTCTTGAGGAGAGGACTGTTGCTGAAGAAGGACATCCTCACATTTCACTATGTGCATTAGCTGGTATCCAAAGAGCATAAACCATTCATGTTACAAGTTACAATGATAAGAGCCCATTCAAATTCTCCTAGATGGTGCTAGCACCCATAATTTCATAGATTCAGCAGCTGCAAAGAAGCTAGGTTGTTCTGTTACTCCTACTGTGCTAAGCTATGTTAGCTTAGGCAACAACGCTCTGAAGCCACTTCTGGAGTGGTAAAGGATTTTAAGTGGATGCTGTAGGGTACTACATATGTATCAAACCTCATTGTCTTTCCTGTTTGTAGATATGATTTGGTTTTAGGAGCCTTGTGGATGAAGACCCTATGTCCAGTCACAATGGACTATTCAGCCTTAACTATGACCTTTAACTACCAAGGCAAACAACATCTCTTGAAGGGAGTTTCAGAGGATTATAAGCTTTCTAGTTCTAAGGCTGTCAACAAGTATCAATGTGATAATGCTCAGTAGTATATGCTACAAGTACTGCTTGTGGAAGTGATGGACTTATGCTAGCCCTACATTTACCTACAGATGAGCCAATGCCACAGTCACTCAGAGACTTATTAACAACCTATAAGCAGGTATTCTCAGAGCCTATTGCACTACCTCCTCAAAGGGGTGCATTTGACCACAGGATCCCATTGCAACCTGGTACCAAACCAATCAACATCAGGCCCTATAGATATTCTTCTATAAAGAAGGATATCATTGAGAAGTTGGTAAAGGAGATGTTGCAACAAGGGTCATCCAGTACAGTAACAACCCTTTCTCCTCACCTGTGGTGGTGATAGGTAAGGATGGCACTTGGAGGTTATGTGTAGACTACAGGGACCTAAACCAATGCACTATTAAAGATAAATTCCCTATTCCTATCATTGATGACTTGTTGGATGAGTTATCAGGGGCTTCTATCTTTTCTAAAATTGATCTCAGGTCTGGTTATCACCAGATCAGGATGGTTTCTGAAGATGTACCTAAGATAACATTCAAAACTCATATGGGACACTATGAGTATTTGGTCATGCCTTTTGGCTTGACCAATACTCCTTCCACTTTTTAGTGCTTAATGAACCATGCAGAAGCTTCTCGGAAGATTTGTGCTTGTTTTCTTTGATGATATTCTAATCTACAGTGTGAATTTGCAAGATCATCTTCTTCATTTACAACAGGTTTTTGACATTATGGTGCAGAACAATTTATTGGCAACCATTCTAAATGTGTTTTTGGTGTGTCAAGTATTGAATATTTGGGTCACTTTATCTTTGCACAAGGAGTTGCTACTGACCCAAAGAAGATAGAGGTTGTGCAACACTGGCCTAATCCCACAACTCTGAAGCAATTAAGAGGCTTCCTTGGGTTAGCTGGGTACTATAGGAAGTTTATCAGAGGTGATGGCCTTATTAGTTGACCTCTCACAGACCTGCTGAAGAAGGATAATTTTCTATGGACTGAGGTTGCTTCACAAGCCTTTGCTGAGCTTAAACTGGCACTCACTACTGCACCTGTTCTAGCCTTGCCAAATTACTCCTTACCATTTGTTGTTTAGACTGATGCTAGTGGATCTTGTATTGGTGTTGTCCTTACGCAAAACAACCATCCTATAACCTTTATTAGTAAAGGGTTGGCTCCCAGGCATGCTGCATTGTCTATGTATGAAAGTGAGCTTCTTGCATTAGTCTTTGCTGTGACATGGTCATATGATATCCTCAGCTAACACTTTATTGTCAGAACTGACCAGAAAGCACTCAAATATCTTTTAGAACAAAAGCTCCATACTGATTCTTAGATTAGGTGGTTGGCTAAACTCTTGCCTTTTGATTTTGAATCCAATATAAAATGGGAAGGAGAATGTAACTGAAGATTCGCTATCTAGAGTTCAATGAGTATCACTGATGACCATGCTCCTTTCTTCATTTCAAGCTGACTTATGAAAAGACATTCAAGCTAGTTGGTATTCAGATCCTGAATTGAAGGCTTTGATTACTTTATTGCACCAGCAACCTCAGAAACACTTCACTTGGGCGAATGATCAGCTTAGAAGGAAAGGCAAGCTGCTAGTTGGCAACAATGCTGCTTTGAGAAAATAAATACTCACACTTTAGCATTCCACTCCCTCTGGGGGTCAATCTGGTATGGATGCGACTATAAGGAAGGTTCTTACTTATTTCTATTGGAAGAGGATAAGAACTGACATTATGACCTTTGTTCACAAGTGTTCTGTGTGCCAAAGAAATAAGTATGACACCGGTGCATCCCTTGACATTCTCCAACTTTTGCCTATTCCTGCTCTTCCTTGGACAAACATCACAATGGATTTCATAGAAGGTTTGCCTAAGTCTCGAGGCAAAGCAGTTATATGGGTCATTGTTGATCGACTTACTAAACATGCTCACTTTATTGCTTTGGCTCACCCTTATACTGCTCAGTCTCTTGTCCCTATTTTCTTGGATAATATCTTTAAACTTCATGGTTTTCCTGCTTCCATTATAAGTGACAGAGATCCCATCTTCATTAGCTCTTTTTGGAGATAATTTCTTACTGTTCAAGGAGTTACCTTGAACACCTCCATTGCGTACCATCCTTAAACTGATGGTCAGACAGAGGTGCTTTATCGTTGTTTGGAAACTTAGCTCCGATGATTTTGCACTGATTCAATTTCTGACTGGTCTTCTTCCTTGCCTTAATTGAATGGTGGTACAATACCAGTCTACATACTGCTATTAAAACTTCACCTATTGAGCTTCTTTATGGTTATCCACCGCCCCCACATTTGCCTTACTTACCTGGGGATTCAGAGGTAGAATCTATTGAGGACATTTTCCTGCTTTGTGAGTTCAAGCTCCAATTAGCTATGTTTCATCTCACTCGCGCACAACAGAGAATGCAATCTCAAGATAATGCCCACAGGTCGGACATGCAATTCCAAGTTGGTGATTGCGTCTTTGTCAAGCTTCAACCATATAGATAGTCTTCCTTATCCTCCTTTCCCTATCACAAGTTGACTTCTCGCTACTTTGGACCATATCCTATAGTTGAGAAAGTTGGTGTTGTTGCTTATAAACTGCCTTCCACCTAAAGTTCTGATCCACCCCACATTTCATGTATCCCAGCTCAAATTTTGTCATGAAGTCCCTACTGAAATAATGCGCCATCTTGTAGTAGATTTGGCTAGTCAATTCTGCCCTGTTCCTAAGTTGATTATGGAAAGAAGGCTGATCAAGAAGGACTACAAGGCTGTTGTTCAATGTTTGGTTAAATGGGCTGGACTGGATGCTTCCTATGCTACTTGGGAATTAGTTTATGCCCTTAAAGCTCGTTTCCCTTCCTTCACTCCTGAGGACAAGGGTGTTGTTCAACCGGGGAGGTATTGATACAAATATTAGCCATTAGCTCTTGAAAAGTAGTTGCACACGTTTTTGGGGGAAAAGTAGTTATTGTTTGTGTCACACAATGAGCGTGTCTGTATTTCCTTTTCCTTTTATTTTAGCATTTAGCTTCATTACAATCTTATAAATCGGAGGTATACCAAATGTAAAGGCATTGAGATTGATATATGAATTGAATTTCGCTCCTCCTCCTCCTCCTCCTCCTGTTTTCTCTAAATTCTGCCTCTTTTCGATCAACTCTTCTGTTCTTCTCTCATTTCTGTTATTAATTCACTGTTTCATTGAAGTGATACCTCAATTTGGTAACATATGGGTATCGGGTTATCGGGGTAACGGTTGGTGAACGAATTGAAACTTTATAATTAATGGCTTGGGAGCAGATTACTTAATTTCCTTATCGGATTAAATATTAACCCGTTAAGAATTTTTATATTTATACTTTTACCCCTATGTATATAATTTGAAACCCTAAGGCCTATAATATAAATCCCTAATCTATCAAGTCTCAATAGCAGTCGATAAGCACCCCTAATTTATCAAATCTCTATAGACAACTTGAATTTAAATGTTGGTACTGATTCAAACTAGCTTTCTGACATATTAGACTTCAGTTACCAACACTTACCAGATTGGTTGAAAATAATGCTTAGTTTCTTATTTAGCATTCCTGGAGGGCAAGGAAATTCCAGTTACTAAGCTGACTAAGGTTGTTGAAGGATTTTTGTCTAGTAATTTGAGGAAAGAGCTTGGATGATGTAGCAACTGATTATTTGATGACTCTTATGGTTGAGCTAGTTGTAATTGCCAAAAAGAAATCAAAAGGTGGGGTAAAAAGAAGCTTTCTTTATAATCTAGCACATGATTTCTATGGGAAAATGATAATTTTTCTAGTTCTTTACTTCTCTTTTATTGTCTATTTGGTTTAGGCGATAAACCGTCCGCTAATCGTTAATCCGATACCAATCCACCCAATGGCTAACAGATTACTATATTTATAAACCGATAACCATTAAGTCGAACCGTTAGACATAAATAATCGCCCGATCCGCCTGATAAGCACCGCTACCGCTCATATAGTGTAGGTAAGAAAAACGACGGAGACAGATACCTTCTTATCTTTAAAGGCAAGCATTCCTTAATTGGAAAAAAATGTTAAAGAGTAATGACCATTTCGAATTATGAATAGATTTCAATACAAAATATTAGGAGTTTACGAGGAAAAGTAATTATATACTAAGTACTAACTAGTAATTACTCTTTATCATATATGAGAAGAAACCATGTAAATAAGCTATACAGTTTCACTTTCTTCGTCTCATTTCATATGAAGTTGTTTGATTAAATACGAATTTAATAAATTAAAAATAACTTTTGATTTGTAAATCAAATATATGCAAAGCACTAAAGTGAGAGCTTCGCAATTTGTTTCTTTTTCGCTTTTCCTATAATATATAAAGAACGAACTTTCATATCAAGTGATCTTAACAAGTCATGCCATTATCGATAAAATAGGAATGGTAAGATTAAATAGTTTCTAAAAAGAAAAATATGTGTTTCTCTTTTAAAAAGATTGTGTCACAAAAAATGGACAAAGGAATAAATATATATAAGATTGCTTTGCCCAAGAATCCAGAGTTCATATCGAGGAACAGGGGCAGATCTAACATTTATATAATTGGTTCCTTCCTATATTAGATTTGACTTGAATCCTATATACATGTTAAAAACTCACTAATTAAATAAAAATTAATGATTTTGAAACCAGTAAATGAAAAGGATCCCAAAACTTGAATTTATAATGATCAAATTCTGCATTTGCCTCCCTGGAGAAATACTTCCCCTCTTTTCTCCCCTCAAAAGTTCCATTCTTGAAGTAGTCTTTTCTCCTTTTCTTTGCCACTACCCTTGTGATTTCTTTTTGAAGAATGAGGGGCAAGGGATTGATCAAGAAAGGTCTTGCAGAATCCCAGACAACTTCAATGGTTGCACCAATCAGAGCTTTGATGTCCCGTCTTCTTTGCTTTGCAATTCGTCTATCCTCATTTTCTTCATCCTTCGGCTTTTGCAAAGTAGCCTGGTACTATCGCAGCTTTGGCCTTGTGTCACGACCCAAAAATTTAACTAGTCGTGATGACACCTAACTCAATCCGTTAGGTAATCCAAATAACAATAATCCGGTTCAAAAGAGATTTACTGAGAAAATAAGTAATGTAATAACTGAACTTTAATACACTTCCCAAGAATTGGTAGTACAAATCATGAGCTTCTAAAATTTAGAGTTTACAAAGCTGGTATGAAATAAATACATCATCGGTTTGAAATATACATGAATAGATTAAAAATTCTAAAGCTACCAAGAACAAAAAGCAGTTATGGTCGGAACGCAAGTACATCTTCAATTCCAGCTCTCCCCATACACAACAACATCAGCATCCAAAAATCTGCACGCAAGGTGCATAAGTGTAGAATGAGTACAACCGATCCCATGTACTCAATAAGTAACAAACCTAACCTTAGGTTGAAAGCAGTGACGAGTTTGGACAAAGGTCAGAGTCCAATGCCAATATCCAAGAACAATTCGTAACAATATAAGAAAAACTATACAAGTAATGACTAAACAGTATGATGCTCAGCTCGTTTACAGTTACGGAAAATAGTCATGCTTTTCAAGTATAACAGTAAAACCCAGTTCCTTCACCGAAATCACCAAAATATGAGTAAGTCTGAAAAACTGTAATTTTTTCCAAAACCTTTTAACAATAAATAAGATATTTCATTATCAGATAGTATGAGGAAAGTACATCTCTATGCCTACATGTCAATGTGCATGTGAAGTCATAAATGTCACAAAACCGTGTAACATGAGGGAATGCATCTCTATGTTTATGTGTCAAGTATACATGATAACGCAATGCACTACAGTGATGAACTCATGTATCCACACTCTCAGAGTACTCAGTCTCACTGTCTCACACTCCCACTCATCACGCTCAATCACTCAACACACTCAGTCACTTAGCATTGTATAGGGCAGATCCAACCAAGAGCAGATCCATCCCAAATGCTAATAAATTCTACTGCGGCATGCAGCCCGATCCCATCGTAAATCAATAGCAACTGCACTCACTGTGGGTGTGCAGACTCCAGAGGGGCAGATCCAACCCAATCGCTATAATAAGCCAATCATGGCATGAATCAATAAAGCATGTTGCGGCGTGCATCCCGATCCAATCAATATCACTCACAATCCGGCCCTCAGGCCCCAACTCAGTCATCAATTTCTCCAATCTCTCGGGCTCACAATGTCTTGAAAGTCAGCCTAAAAATGATGATATGATGTATCAATAAATAGCAATGGAAACTGAGATATGATATGCAAATGAATGAGTATGACTGAGTATGTAATTGCAATGTAAGCAAATAACTAATCAGAAATGATCTCAGTGAGTCCTAACATGATAAACATATAGCCTAGACATGGTTTCTAGCATGTATCAGATCTCAATTACTCTAGCACGTAGAAATTTCATGAATAGGAACAAGTTTATGTCGCTACACAGTACCACATAATCAATCGAGTCATAATTCATACGGTGCACGCCCATACACCCGTCACCTAGCATATATGTCACCTCAACACCAACACATAACACGTATATTTAGGGGTTCATACCCTCAATACCAAGTTTAGAAGCGTTACTTACCTTGAACAAGCGGAATCCAATACCGATCAAGCCACACAATACTCTAGAAATGCCATCCCACCTATACCAACCTCTGAACGACTCGAAACTAGCCAAAAGCAACTCAAATACATCAAATAATGTCTAAGAAAATAATTCAAATTGATAAAAGTCAAATCTTTAATCAATGACCTGAAGTCAACCAAAAGTCAACGCGAGACCCATATCTCGGAATCCGACAAAAGTTACAAAAATACGAACGTCCATTCAACCACGAGTAAAACCATACCAAATTTACCAAATTCCGAATCCGAATATATGTTCAAAACTCAAAATTCATTTTATAAAATTATAGACAATTCCTCTAATTTCTCTTTAAAAATCAATAATCATGCGCTGAAAATGAATATTAATTCATGAAATATAATCAAAACCGAGTAGAGGACACTTACCCCAATCCATATGGTGAAAATAGCCTAAAATATCACTAAATCCCGAGGTCCCCAACTCAAAATATGGATAAATGGCTCAAAGGTCCAAAATTGGATATTAAATCCACTACCAAGCTTCCTTCTTCGCGATCGCGGACATCCCTTCGCGATCACGATGAACAAATTTTTCAACAGCGATTTCCAAACTCTTCCCAGATAGCCTATAGAATATCTACCATAACTCTTTGTGCAGAACTCCGCATTCCAAACGGTTTCGTTTTCTGAAACCTAGACACATAGGGCTATAACTTTTATTTTTGGATAATTTCTAAATTCCTTATAGATTGCACGATATAAGCTTCCAAAGTCAACCTTGTGCAACAGAAATTCCTCCTACGTGATCGCGAAAAGGCTTACACGATCGTGATTCACAAGTCCACAAACTGCAGTTTGCTCATCGCGAACACGACCAAATATTTGCGACCGCGATGCATACCCCTGTAGCCAAAAATCAGCAACTGAAAATAGCCTAAAAATGGTCCGAAACCACCCCGCCCTCGGGGCTCCACGCCAAACATCTACACAAGTCTGGAAACATCATGCGAACTTGCTCGCACGATCAAATTACCAAAATAACACCTGGAACCATGAATCGGATATCAATACGCATGAAATATGAAGGGAGAACTCAAGAACTTCTAAAATTACAACCAAGCGTCCGAATGCTATCAAACCAACTCCGAACGACCCCGAATTTTGCAGGCAAGTTCCAAATCATAACGCAAACCTATTCGACGTTTCAAATCTCACTTAACAATATCAAAATCATAAATCGCACCTTAAATCGACTTAATTAAGTTAATGAACTTTCAAAATTCAAAACTAATGGCGAACAAGCCTAAACACCTCGGATTAATCTCAAATTTGGCACACAAGTCATAAATGACATAATGGACTTACTATAACTTCTGGAATCAAAATCCGACCCCGATATCAATAAAGTCAAACCTCGGTTAAACCTATAAACATTTCTAAACCTTCAAATTTCAAACTTTCGCCAATTAGTGCCGAAACCTTTTAGAATTATCCAAATGCAAATCGGGGCAAATGCCCGAGTCCAAAATCACCATTCGGACCTAACAGAATCATCAAAACACCGATCCGAGGTCAAATACTAACAAGTCAAACTTGGTCAACTCTTCCAACTTAAAGCTTCAACTATGAAATTCATTCTTCCAAACTAATTTCGAATCACCTGGAAACCGAAACCGATGATACACACAAGTCGTAATACATCATACAGAGCTACTCATGCCCTCAAATCACTGAGCAAAGCACAAATGCTCGAAACGATCGGTCGGGTCGTTACACTTTGAACCTTGAAATATTTTTAAAAACTCAAAAGATGTCATTGCAGAAGCCAAAGAAGAAGCTGAATAATACTAGGTTCTTGATCACTGTCGATGTCATTGCTGGGTTCATTGACACAGCTTTGAAAAAATATGCTCGCGAGGGACGACTGCTAGTTCCTGGTTCTAATGTGGACAGTTTCTTCCTTTACCCTGTTAACGCTGGACCTGATGATACTCGTAAAATTATTTCTTTCTTTAATCCTTTGTTATTCTGAAGAGTTTAAGTTATATACGTTATCACTGTCAGAAATTTCTTACACAATCAAGTCAACCAAAAGATTTATATAAGTAAGCCTTTTTAAGATGCGGGATTTGTAATCTTGAAACAAAATTGATTCTATGTTACAACACGTAAAAATTTCTTACATTGGCGACGTATATAAGTTAAATTCTATTCTTAATATTTTCTTGCACTTTTAGATTTAAAATTTGATGCTTTGGTTGCCATTTGCAGAAGATTTTAACTTATGTACATCGACACTGTATTTTATATATCGTACATAGCAAGTAATCTGCTTTATTTTTTCAGTTTACTAGTCTCACTTTCTATGGACGAGTATGTGTAGTTATCCTTTAAGTGTGTAATAGTATAAAAGATCATTTAACTTGTTAATTTATAGAAGTTAAACTCTTTACATTGCTAAACTTGATTTCAGCTATGGGTCCATCAGATGAAATAGGATCACAAGGGGTGAGGAATTTCATTCTTTGCAAGAAGCAAAAACAGCCCCAGATGACAGAAGGAAGTGCAGAGGAGATTTCTCATAAGGGAAGAAGCAGCTGGAAATCTTGGTTAAATAAGTCCTTTTCCTTCAGGATTCATTTCCATTAAATTAACTTTCTCCTCCACTGTCATAGAGGTTTTTATCCAGGTACATATGTCTCTTGACCAAAGTGGTTATTCTGCACTCTCAAGTGCTTGTGGTTGTGATAACATTTATTATGATAATAGTAATAATAATAATAACAAAAAAACAATAAAAATGATGTAACATGTTTATCAGTTCTTAAGTCATTCAAAATGCTAACACGCAGAAGTACAGTATATCAATAATAGTCTTAAAATCTTGAACGTGCAGGGAAAACTTAGAGGTTTCCAGATTCTTTAATCTGAGTTTGCACAAGGAATAAGGAATTAATGATTCCTTAATGCAGAGGCTGCATACGATAACGTGCATTAGTAACAAAGATTATCTTGAAACATAATTAAACCTCTAGATATTGGCATCCTTTATTACAACCAACACCTTCCGCTGTTCGTGAAGCAAAAACAATTTGTTTAATCGTCCCAAGGTATCATTTCAAATACATATGTGGGTCAGGCTCGAACATATTGAGTACATCCTATACACTAGTCATAAATCTTTAATAAATGTGACATAGGGTCTATACGTTCTGAGACGAATCATTTATCCCAATTTCCTCTCCGTAGGATGTCCTGATGACACCTAATCTCTACGACTAGGTAAACCTAACAGTTAATAATAATCTGACAGAAATAATTAACAAAATACTAAAACAAAGATGAATAACTGATGTAAACTTGCGAAAATAGATTCAACAACAATACACTCTCCAAGACCGGTGGAACTGAGTTATAAGCTCTACAAGTAAGCTAAAGTGTCTAGTACATCACTGCCTGAATGAAAAATACAACAGGAAATAAGAATAAAGGAAGGTGACTCCGAGACCTGCGGACGCCGAGTATGCATACCTTGAAGTCTCCGTAAAGCAGCTAACAACTCATCACTAACGACTGGTACGAGCAAACGTGCCTAGATCTGCACAAAAATGTGCAGAAGTGTAGTATGAGTACACCACAACGGTACCTAATAAGTATCAAATCTAACCTCGGTAGAGTAGTGATGGGGAAAGGTCAAGACACCTACTAGGATATAAATAAACAATATGAATACGTAATACAGATAAATAAAAGAAAGCGGAGAAACAATTGATACGACACAGTTAACAACATGAACTAATACCGAAATTGTAAACACGGAAATAACATAAAGAATTCAATTAAAGAGAACCACAATGATCATATATATACAATAATTGGCAAAAGAAAATAAGGAAGAACAAAACAACGAGAATCACGACGAGGTACCGCCTCGTGTATATATACCAAAAATCACAACTGAGGTACCGCCTCGTATTCACAATTCACAATCTCAATCACAATCTTTACTTATACCGCCGCCCGAGCCTTACATTTGAAATAGGTTTTGAAACCAATTTTTTCCGAAATAGCTACACGAATCTTAGCCCACCTTATGATGCCTCGTGGCTTCACGTAATTCCCTTACAAGCAACATGCACATAAGTCCTACCTTATACTGCCGCATGTGTATTAGTATCACATAACAATAACAACTCACACCACAAGTGCCCATATATCACAACATGCCAACAATCAACAATCTCAATATTTCCACAACAATAGCCCATGGCTCCAACGCAACGGGTACAAGAATATCAACAACAACAATGAATGTAAAATGCTCAACAAGGAAGATGTTTCTACAATAACAATTTCGCGTCAATGTGATAACGATTTTGACAACTTCAACACCAATAACTCAACAATTAGATAATGTATAACCACAATATTAAGTAAGAACAACTCACAAGGGAAGAGATAACGTATAACAATGACTTCAAGTAATGGAAATCAATAAGAAAAGGGAAAACATGAACAATAAATTCAAGTAATGATAATCAATAATGAAGGAGATAACATGAACACTAACTTCAAACAATGATGATTAACATTGAAGAGATAGCATGTAACAATAAAAGAGGCAACAAGTTCAACTAAAGCATGAGAGCAATTTATCAAGTAGGATGTAGAACAAGTATTAAACAAGTCAATTAAGGCATGTAAGGATAAACTAACACAAATAAGGGTAGATTGACTATGATAATTTAGAACATGATATAACATTTCAATTAAAGCATGGAAATAGTCTAAGTAGCCTACACTGGTCAAATACCACGTATAACCCGTGTACCCACTCGTCACCTTGCGTACACGGGTTTCACACAAAAGACACAATCAATCCCAAATCCTAAGTGGTACTTCCCCCGCACGAAATTAGGCAAGATACTTACCTCAACTAGGCCAATTCAACACTCGAAAATAGCTTTTCCCTTAAAATTCGCCTCCACATGGCTCAAATCTAATCAAATTGACTTAATACTATCAAACAATGCTAGGAAAATCAATTACAATAGATAAAGATAAGATCTTTACACTTTTCCCAAAAAGTCAACAAAATTCAACCTGGGGCTTACCCTGTCAAAACTCGGGTCCAATGTATATTCCTACTACGCATGACCCCACGAGTTCATATATGTGATTAGTTTCAAAATCTAAGTCTAAATCGACTCTCAAAACTCAATTTCTTATTTTTCAAAAACTTGACAAGGATTCACAAATTTTTACTTTGATTCACATGATTTTGATGTTAAAATCTAAGATATATTGATGGAATATAATTAGAAATGGATTAGAATCACTTACCCAAAGTTTGCTAGAAAAGGCTTTGCAATTGCGAACTGGCCATCATCGCAAAATTGTGAACCAAGCAAAATCCTGCTGCCTTTGCAAATGCGAAGGGGAAGTTGCATTTGCGACATCTGCCCCCTACTGTCACCTTCGCAATTGCGATAACTGAGCACCAGCATACCAACAATTAATTTTAAGTTCAAAACCATTCCGATACATGTCCGTAACTCATCCAAGTCCTCGGGGCTCTAAACCATATATCCATACAAGTCTACAAAAATCATACGAATTTGCTCGCGCGATCAAAATACAAAAATAACATCTAAAACTACGAATTAAACTCTGAAACGTATGAATTTCAAAGTAAAGTTCAAGAATTTCTAAAATTACAACTAAACGCCCGAATCAACTCCAAACGACACCAAATTTTGCAGACAAGTTCTAAATAACATAACGGACCTATTCCATATCCCAAAATTAAATTTCGAGCTCGATAGCTAAAAGTCAACCTATGGTCAAACGTTTTAACTTCAAATTGCCAAATTTCGGCAAATCAACATAAATAAACCTATGGCCTTCCAAAATTAATTTCGGGCATACGCCCGAGTCCAAAATCACAATACGAAGCTATTAGAGCCATTAAAACACAATTTCGGGGTTGTTTTCACAAAAGTCAAAGTTTGGTCAATATTTCTAATTCAAATTTCTAAGTCAAGAATCAAAGGGTCCAAATCAACCCGAAAGCTTCCCCGAATGAAACTAACCAACTCCGTAAGTCATAAAATCATAAACATACATGTGTGAAACATAAAAAAGGGAAACAAGGTGCAATTACACAAAACGATCCATCAGTTCATTACATTCTCCCCCTCTTAAACAAACGCTTGTCCTCGAACGTGCATAAGGACATACCTGAAGTGGTGAATAGATGAGGATAACGACTCCGCATGTCGTGCTCGGTCTCCCAGGTTGCCTCCTCAACCGGATGACTCCTCCATTGAACCTTCACTGAATAATGTTCTTTGATCTTAACTTTCGGACCTGTCGGTCCAAGATAGCCACAGACTCCTCAATGTCAGTCAAATCCTCGTCCAACTATGAGTCGGGGTCGAATCCACAGGGAGTTATAAGGGGTGTTACACTTGAAGAGAGCGAATGGATTAACTAAATTTACACTTCCATAAAATGTTTTGATTTCTACTTCTACTATTACTCTAACAATTGCAAGCTAAGTAAAAGAAACTAGAAATGAACGATTATTTTTGGTGTTTTTCTAAATAGTTAAAAAGCCTAGGGATGTAACCATAACCGAGGTGTTCGCCTAATGGTTAAAGACGTTAATACTTGATTTGTTGATTGGAGTGTATTATAGCTCTCAACTTGACATTACCCACTCAATACCTCTCGGTCAAAGAGTGATTTTGTCCAATTTGGCTTTCTCAAGTCCAAATGGGTATCAAACAAAATAATTGATATGAGCTCAAGTCGGGTTCTTACTATATCTAGTTTAAACCCTTTAATTAGGCTAATCAAACTCTCAATTAGCCCAATTCCTTGTTAGCCAAGTTATCCTAGACTAGGTCCCTCTTTCTCAGGTAGAGACTAAGTCAAAAAGGCATGAATCAATGTTTGCAACCATTAATTTTAAAATTGAAGCATGAACTAAGCTAAATAATCAACACCAAATCATATACAAGCATTAAATTAAATACACATAAGGTTTACACACTAGGGTTGGGTCACAACCCTAGTAAGAATCTAGCTACTCATAGTGGGAATTGAAGAAAATAAAGAAGAAAAGCTAATTAAACTCACAATCAAAGATTAAATTGATAAAATATAATGTTTAAACACTAAAGTAATCACAAACTTCCTAAAATGGCAAAATGTAACGGCTACAGTAGCTCAAACTTCAAAACTTGAGTTAAAATATTAAAACTCGTCTATTTATAGTGGCCCAAAATTCGCTGACAAAAATGCCCCTCGAGAGGTTCTACGGCCGAACAATTCCATGTGTGGTCTGCAGATTTCTTCAATTGGCAGGAACTAGGATTCTGCAGCCGCACATTTCTGGATAGCAGCTACAAAACATCTTCTGCGGCTGCACAATTCTTGTGCGGTCCGCACTTTAGCAAGGCATCAGAACTTGGCATTTTGCACACTCTCTGAACTTTGAATCATCTGTCAGTGAAATCCCTATTCTGCAGCTACACAATTCATGTGCGGTCGCACATAAACCAAAGTTCTGCTGAGTTCTTTTACTTGGTCTGCGGGCGCAGATGGAATTCTGCGATCGGCCCTTTCTTCTGCAGACCACACTT